TTGATGTGAATAAAAACATTATCATAGTAAGGGTATCTGTTGTTCAATATGAAAATTATTATGGTAGGAGGTTGTTATGGGCAAGTGCACGCAGTGTGAGTGTTTTTACAGAGAAACAGTGTATGTAACAGTTGGTAGAGAAAAACATTCTATAATCTTTTAAACAATTTTTCATTGAGTAGAGAAGTAAATGTTTGAAATATTAGTACATCCAGCTGTTTTTTTTCTTCAGAATCTGATATTTGATTCAAGATATTCTGAAACCGATCTTGCGTTATTTTGAGTTTTGTTCATCTTTGATAGCAAAACAATAATCTTAAGCATATTTTTTATTGTTACTGTATTAATTCACAGTGAGAACATTGTCTCTAAAGAAAAAAACATGTATGGAGAAGACATGCAGATATTTGAAGTAACACATCGATGTATGATGTATACTCCATTTTACATCAGCATAGAAGTAACTCAATTAATTCCTTTTCAAGATTTATTGCTCATAGAATTTTGAGCTTTGCTTATACAGGATATTACAACTTCACATATTAAAAGCTAATTAATGCCAAATATGAATGGTACTGTCAGATGTCACCAGCCCAAATCGACTTACAAATACTTGTGAATTCTTCGATAACAAAAGCACACTAAGGCAGGGTCATTACCCAGTTCCTGTGTTTTGTTGCTTCTGTTGCCTTCTCCCACCTCGTCTCAAACCTTGCAGTGTAAGGGGCTGCACTTTCAACACACGTGGAGAATACAAAGGTAAGCGTGGCAGACACAGGGCTAATCCCAGGTGAGAGGGCGTACAGCAAGGTTGTGACCTGGGGCCATGTCTATTGACTTCCTGTATTGAATGGTGCCATCAGATGGGGAATCTCAGCCCTTAAGGGCTCTCATGGAGTGTTGTGTGGGGACAAGTACATTGGAGGAGTAATTTAGTACTTGGCACTGTGGCAGGAAACTTGAAGGTTTGACGTTTCTTAATAAATTTTTAGTTTGCTTCATGGTACACTTCCGCTTTGGTATTTTATGATTCTGTAATTTCAACTTTCTGTTACTGCCAGCTTGCAAGACTTATAGTATAAGGATATCAAGAATGATAAACAGCTCATTCATTCATTCATTCATTCATTCATTCATTCATTCATTCATTCATTCATTCATTCATTCATTCATTCATTCATTCATTCATTCACTCATTCATCCATATAGCTGCTTTGAAGACAATTTTGTAGCATCAGTTTTATATTCAGTTATATAGCAACTAATTTCTAAACTATGCGACAACTATACAGCTATGTCAGCTGTATTGATAGTGAAAAATATGATCATTAAGTCGAAAAACAATAAGGAGAAAATACATTGTTAGGATTATTTTAATCGTTTCAAAATTTAAATTGGATCAATTAAGGTGATAAAATAAGTAAAATCATGATCTGGTGTGAGCCTTTAGTAATGAGATGTAATGATGATTTAACATTTGAAAAATATATGTTTTAGTCATAAACAATCCCTTGGATTAATTTTACTGTCAAGGTGATTTAAAAAATTGATGGTGTTAGAAAAAACCCATGTCATTTTGTTTTTCTTTTCTTCTGAGTTTTTTAATTTAGGGTCAACAGATTTCATACAAAACAACAAACTGCAAGGTATTAAGGATTTCTAAGGTTTCTTTATAAGGGCAAAATATCCATCACCTATTGACATATTCCTGTGCAGCCTGACAAGTATTGAGAGCCATGTCGGCCCCAGCTTCCTGTACATTGTACCGACTGTCTCAAGCACCTGTCTGTGACACAATACCCAGCCTGCCTCTCCCTGTTACCTGGCTGCTGGACCTGCTCGGCCACTCACCTACAAGTATAGGAAATTACTGTCTGCAGAACATCCCAACACCACCAGGTTGGACGGGACTCGGCAGTGGAGGAAATGACTCCAGCAGTCAAACATAGCTTACTGAATTGGTTGCAGTTGTGTGTGTCTGGACAACTGAAACAAGGACACATTTAACATGATGAAGTGCGGTGTAGCGTTATCACAGTTCCTGATGCTGGTATCGATCCAGATGAAGGGATTATTGTATCAGATTCCCGGCAGTTGGCATGGCTGTTAATGCCCAGTCAATGTTAGTCTGTCTCCCAGTCCCTGAACTGTCTTTTCATCCCTTTCTGCAATGCAATTTTAGCCCTAAATGAGGCAAGGTATTTCCTCGGTAGTACACATTACATGAGTCTCTTGTGAATCTTTTATAAATTGTCCTGTGTATAATGTAACAGCACTGTGTTGTAGACTGTAAGTTAGGTTGAGTTGCCGTCATAACAGTGAGTGAGTGAGTGAGTTGGGTTTTACGCCACACTCAGCAATATTCCAGCTATATGGCGGCGGTCTGTAAATAACAGAGTCTTGGCCAGCCAATCCAGTGATTAACAGCATGAGCACGATCTACGCAATTGGTAACCGATGACATGACTCAACCAAGTCAGCGAGCCTGACCATCCGATCCCGTTAGTCGCCTCTATGACAAGCATGGGTTGCTGAAGATCAATTCTAGGCCAGATCTTCATGGGTCCCGACATAGCAACTAAGCAACATAGCACAATAACCATAATAACTATCATATCCCTAAATCTTGCAAAAAAAGGAAGTATTTCTTTCCTATGGACATAACCACAGCCATGGACCATACACCAATATTAGTATATGGCCTCAGCTATGGCTGTTATGTTTTGTATGTGTGAACAAAGTTAAAAACGCTTTCCTTCACAATAGGGAAAATGTGTGCCTACTTTGTAAAAGGTTTTGATATTACTGGCATAGCTTTCATAGTAGGTAATACATTGTTTCCCAAGGGGAGAGTTTTGATCATGACAACAGCTACCACCTTGACGGAACAAACAGCCTGTGTCACATGGAAGACATCACCCACTGCTGTTCTGGTCAGTCCTGGAGGAGATTGTCCAGGGTTGCCTTCCTAATGGAAGGGAATGTGTTTACTTCAGACCTTAGACACAGACTGATGGACAATGCTGTTTATCTACTGACAAACTGTTTGACTAAAAACATACAATATTGATGTTGTTATCGGATAGTATCAACTGGGCCAGGTTGTATATTCTTTTATTGTCCTAGCTGAGACATCAGATAGGTATTCCATACCAAGAGATATGGTCTGATATCTACTGATAACTTGAAATACTAATGAGTGCCCCGGGGAAAATAGTGTTTACTATTGTGACAATTATTCAAACTGAAATTATGAAATTAAGAAATTATCAAGTGATTCCTGTGTGTGAAAATGTGAAACTATTTGCAACCACTGCCATATGTATACTGTGTGTGTATTTTACTCATCAAGCAAAGTTTAACCTATGTGTTGCCAGTCATGGGTGTATACACCAGCTTATTGATATATTTATATATCTGCCAGATTTTCTCACAGACTCAGCCATCCATGTACCATTACTTGAGTTGTATGTGTGGCCTGAATGTTTAATACAGTGATGCAAAAAGACCGAGATTGATAGGGAGTGATTTCAATGTATAAGTGGTTATTACATGTAGATTGACACTGCTGCTTCTGGCAAAGGTCATTATTCTGATTTGAATCCTCTCATTGACCAATCAAAATATTTTCAAACACCATACTCAGCAAAATTCCAGTTATTTGGTGGTGGTCTGTAAACAATCAGGTCTGAAACAGACAATCCAGTGATCAACAGCATGAGCATTGATCAATTCAATTGGCCAATCAGAATGGGTCATAGTGGTATTATGAATGTAATCCAAGTTCTTCAAGAAACTCACGGGCTGATTAATCACCCAAATATGTCCTTGCAATCTTGATGTTGTTATCACATAGTATCAATGTGACTAGGTTGTATATTCTCTTATCCCAGCATACACATCAGATATGTATTCCATACCATGAGATACAGCCTCTTAGCACTGTGTTATCACCTGGCAATCTCTCTCATCATCCCAACAACACAACGAGGTCGCGCATGTCTTTGATACTCTTGCCTTAGGCTATACATATTGTATAGAGAACTGCCCATTGTGTATGATGTAAGACAGTAGGTACTCTAATCAAACAGTTCGATAAGCTAATGAATTCTTTATTAGTGGTCCTCGTATCTTCGAGGATTATACACCCTGAGGATCTTACTGAAGCTGAATTATTGATGACTGTTGATCCTTTCTCAGTTTGGAGACCATGTGGGATTTCCAAATAGCAACGGAAAGTGTGGCTCTTGCATAATTGATGAAGCAGGGAACTTAGAGGATGTAATAAAAGTGTTGAAAATGTGCATCCAGGGAATATACTGTGACCATGTAGACTGAAGGTCTTGTAGCTGGGGTAACTGTTAAATGGTTGTGATGGTGGAGATTTGTTTGTATCCTCAAATTTATTGGATGAAGAATGTTGTTATCACATTATCCCCTGAGTTGACAAGTGAATGTGACTTTTAGGCAAGAACATGCATTGAAGACAATGTGTTATGTTCATGAATGACCTATGAGATGAGATAAAACAAGACCTGGGAAGATCCGGGTTAGAATTGGTCTTCAGCAACCCATGCTTGTCTTAAGGTGTGACTAACAGAATCAGATGGTCAGGCTCGCTGGCTTGGTTGACATGTCATCATTCCCCAATTGAGTAGATCGATGCTCATGATGTTGATCACTGGATTGCATCAAACAACAAACAAACAAAAATGAGATGAAACCCACTTCTATTGATGACTGCTATGTACAAATTGTATTTTACCTCCCTTTTCTGTCTATCTTATAAATCATTTACAATTCTCTAGTCATTTATGTTCAAAGTTTCACAATGGTCAAAGCCAGGCAAGATGACTGAAATTAGATGCACACTGTCTTGTATCCTGCACTGATTGACTGAGACAATGTTTGTTTATGTCTGGCCAGGCTGCTATGGAAGTTATACCCCAGCTGTGCAACCATTATGTACAATGTATTGAAACTGTTTCTATCTGTTGCAGTGCCGGTAACATCAAGTGCCCTGATGATGACACAACTATAGATTATGCAAAGGTAAATATGTACACTGTATCTAAGTCTGCAGTATTGCCAAGCCAACTAGAAGTGTGTTTGCCACAATATTTGAACATTGTTTGGTATCTTAAAGGTTACTAAGTGCAGTTGCAGTTCAGTTAAATATTCTTATAGCAAATATACTGATAATTTCGTAAACAACCATGGGCTTTTATCCCATAGTTTAAAAAAATGTGTATTCCAGTTTCATAGAGTCGTTTCAATGTTTTACATGTGCAAAACATGGGGAATCTCTATAAAAGGATGGATCCATTTTTTAATGCAAAGGTTACACTGAATTTTAATCATGGATGAAAAATAATTTATGAGTGTAATTTGCTAAGTCAGGTCCCTGAGAGTATTCTAGCCTGTATCCAATGTGTCCCACTTGATTATTTACAGACTACTGTCACAGGTTGTAATATTGCTGACTGCAGTGTTTCAATAACAAGCAAAACAATGGTTGTCGAGACATGAGACTTTGCTGCTGTCAAAATACAGTGAAGGCAGTATTAATATAAACATGTTGGGCTCGTTTCTCAAGCAATACTTTTCTTAATTCAAAATATAAATACCAACAATAGAAGAATCCTGCCCCATTGCTAAATAAAGGCTTCTTACCACCAATAGTTGGAAGTTAGAGCTAGCTAGAGTCTGTCTCCCCAAGAGTATATCAAATAGGAGTCTGACTAGTGTAGAATGATTTGGCAAGTCTAGATTGTCTCAGCCCTAGCCAGAAATGAACGATTTACTTTAAGGAAGGATAACTATATATGGATGAACAACTTATCACTTGCTTGAAAAAGGTGTCAGAACCTACACTGAAACGATTTACTTTCACTGTAATCAGTGTGAAATAAGCCAAAAAACCCAGCCAGACATCAGGGCTAGTACCGGTAACTTCAAAATGGTACCAGCCCCATATGGATTTTAACCAGACACCAAGATATTGTGAATTTGTATGGAACATCTCAATTTTTTACCAGACCATCGGACTGGCTAGCTGTAAATTTAGACAGTCCGTCTGAAATCTAGCCCGTCTCAAGCAGTGGGATGGGCCTTATTTCATACACTGCTGTAATAAAGAAGTTGTTCATCCTTATGTTGTTATCCTTCCTTCCTTCTCCAACTTCTAAATGTCTCACAAAGAAGTTAACCCGTGATGGTTCGGGGTTAGAATATTGGTCTTCAGTAACCCATGCTTGTCGTAAGTGGTGACTAACGGGATTGGGTGGTCAGGCTCCCTGACTTGGTTGACACATGTCATCGGTTCCCAATTGCGCAGATCGATGCTCATGCTGCTGATCACTGGATTTTCTGGTCCAGACTCGATTATTTACAAACCCCCGCCATATAGCTGGAAAATTGCTGAGTGCGGCGAGAAACTCAATTCACTCACTCAAAGAAGTTAAGGGTTGTCATGGGTTCCATTTATATGTGTTTTGTAGATAAATAGATTTTATGATATTTTAAAATAAGATTCTGGGCCCAAGTCTATCTTAGAGCCATGAGGTTAGAAACAGCCCCTGTGTGGGTATCTGTCTCCCTGCAATACCATGTTGGTGTTGTAGATCTACCCCGACCAGGAGCTGCAGTCAGAGATCATGAACACACACATCCGATGTCGCCACCACAAGGAAGGCTGTCGCTGGGTGGACAAGTTGCAGAACCTGCAGGTACGTACCATGTACAGGTAGAGTTGATATTGTCCTCAAATCTGTAACTGCTTGTACAGTTTGCAGTGGTTCAGGTGCAGTTATGTAGCACCTACAGATTCCATGAAACCTTGTTAATCCAGACAGTCCTCTTTCTTATATCTTCCAAGTTCCATTAAATAAATCTTGTGTATGTCTGTTGAACTAAAAATAGACATTCCAACTAATGTAAAGTAAGTGGGGATTCCAGTTAAACAGGGTCCAGACTCCACAGGTTTCACTGTAGCCCTACCTGGAATGAAGATACTCATAGACTAATCCCCCACAGTTTTGATGCTAACATCATAGAGCTGCTGAGAAAACCAAATCTCTCCAAATGTCATACTCTTTGTGGTTGACTGTTGACATTGTCTGTGTTAATGTTTAAACTAAACACTTCATCACCTTAAAGACTCAAGCTGGCAGTTACTCAATGGTTGCCATTAGCAACATGAAGATTCCATCACCGGACTGTCTGATGTAGGCGTTAGTTTTTGTGAGCTTTTGTCAAAGCTGCTTAAGTCATATGAGGCTTCAGTTCGTCTCTGTGTTGAAAACAATGATGCTGTCTTTCAGGAGTATTAATGTCATGATTAATCAGGATTCATGGAGTGGTACTTGTGTATTGCACAATACGAGGCCTTTATGAGGATGTTGGACAATAATGGTTCTTCTCATTAATCCTGTCAAGATTTCTTATGATCATTGGAATACATTTACATCAATTTACATGATTTAAATTCATTTTGAAATTTATTTCTTAAAGTTTAAATTTTAAGAATTAGTGAATAGAAAATTTATTAACAGTTAAATGCTGTTAATCTTGATCATGCCTGAAGGTCCATTCTTGCCATTAATAGATTTTATTGCTGAGCTTGGTGAAATGGATGTGATCATATCCAAATTGTGTAGATTGATGCTCATGATGTTAGTCACTGGATTGTCTGGTCCAGCCTCAATTATTTACAGTCACCATATAGCTGGAATGTTGCTAAGTATGTCTTTAAACAACAAACAAACAAAGCTTTCTGCAGCATTAATCTAAAACATTAATGCATGAATAATAGTTTACAGCAGTGATCTGTCGCAGAAGGCAGTGCTTCAATACTTTAAGGGGTCGCTATATTGTGACTTATGGCACCATTAATACTCACTCACTCACTCACTGTTTCAGGGTCATCTCCACAACTGCCGCTATGACGCTGTCCCGTGTCCCAACAGGTGCCCTGCCAAGTTGTCCCGTGTATGCCTTGACGACCACTTGGAGTTCACCTGCCCCAAGAGGCATGTCACCTGCGACTTCTGTAGTCAGGACTTTGCAGGGGAATACTTTGAGATGGTGAGTGGGGAACAGCAGCCGGTACTACCAACAATTGGAGAACACTGCATCACTGAAATGTTTTCATCAGAATTTTTGTTTTTCTTCTACCCAAAATAATATCCTGAGTAATGCAAAGTTTCAAATAACCATGTGAAACTACAAAAATTCCTCTCCTGCCTTTAGGTTTTCTGAGGACAAAAATCTGTAAAACAAGAAATAAAATTGGTCTGGCCTTAGCTGGAATATTGCTTTGTGTGGTGTGAAAAAACCCAAGAAAAACCTAAATGGGTAAATACTGTCTTTGGGGTCTATTTTGTCAGAATTCGTCTTTTTGAAATGTAATGTGTGGTGACAGTGTCTTTACCTTGTGTTTTAATTAGTCACGACAATGTCCGTTTGTTTGTAGACCCACTCAGGAAACTGTCCAAAGGAAGTGACGTATTGTGAAAACAAGTGTGGTGCTAAGTTAGAGAGGCGTTTCCTCAACAACCACATGAAGAACGAGTGCCACAAACGTACCGTCAGCTGCAAGTTCTGTCAGCGGGAATTTGTACAGGAGACGTTACAGGTGGGTTGAACTTTAATCTATACGTTAGCTGAAGGGACACTCACCTGTGCTTGATTAGGGACTGTTCATAATTTATGGCTATGGGAGGAGATGATGATTTTAAGGTGGGGTCACCCATTTTGTTCTGGGGAGGTAGGGTTGGTTCATCAATTTTGTACACATGTACTAGGGGGTCAGCAATTTTGTACATAAAATATTAAAATTATGCTTAAATGTGTGTGGTGTGTGTGTGTGTGTGTTGCATTATGTACATGACATGGGGGTGGGGGATCGCTCACTTTGTACATAAATTTTAGAGGGGGCATTCACATTGTGAGTGAGTTTGGTTTTACACAGCTTTTAGCAATATTCCAGCAATATCACAGCGGGGGGCACCAGAAATTGGCTTAACACATTGTACTCATATGGGGAATTAAACCCAGGTCTTCGGCATGTCGAGCGAACGCTTTAACCACTAGGCTACCCCACCGCCCCCATTCACATGGTACATGCGTTTCCATAAAGATCATCATCAACCCTCACTAACCATAAATTATGAAAGGTCCCATAGCCAAAAACATACACCCGGGTATGATCCTTTGTATGGAAAATTACAGCCAAGATTACTATTGTATGTAGTGGGCAGTGGGGTAGCCTAATGGTTAAAGCGTTGGCTCAACACTCCAAAGACCCGGGTTCGAATCCCCACATGGGTACAATGTGTGAAGCCCATTTCTTGTGTCCCCCGCGGTGATGTTGCTGGAATATTGCTAAAAGCGGCGTAAAACCAAACTCAGTCAGTCAGTTGTATGTAGTTGAGATCAAATCATGCCAGAACAGAAACTACAACCTGGAATAGAGTTTGATTTTTTAACTGCAGCTATGCTGTGTTTAGAATATTAAACATATCATTGTTTACAATGAATAATTGTTCACATATTTCTATATGTAGCTAATGTACATGTAGATTACTTAGGAGTTATGAATGAGTGAGTGAGTGAGTTGGGTTTATCAGTGCTTTAAACAGTATAGTCAAGTTCTATCCACGCACGTCAGCGTAATGCGTCTCTCCACTTTGGTGAACCCAACAAGCACTGGTATGGTGCTGATAAACATCTAAACATAATCAGGCTGAACCAGGATTCAAACCCACAATCATAGGTTCCTGGCAGGACCAAGGGAAGCAACTGCACATCTATGAAAGGATTGAAGAATAGGGATCATGATCTATTAATGGAGGTTTTTTGGCTTCATCTATTGATATTAAATCTACAAGTCTGTAAATCTGCCAATTCTGGGACTAAATATGCAAGCAATGAAAAATCATACAATATTATACTCAAAATGAGATTGCTGGCCTTCACATGACGTGAGTTGACATGAGTTGACATGAGTTATCTGCCCTTGTCCACAGACCCATCAGTACCAGTGCCCACGGTACCCAGTCCCCTGCCCAAACCGATGTGATCCAACAAAAATACCTCGGGAGGAGATGGACGTCCATGTCCAGGAGATCTGTCCCTCTGCCACGGTGCCATGTCCATTCAAAGACGCAGGCTGCAGGTTCAAGGTATGATAACATTTTTACCTGGTGTAGGGAACTGCTAGTGCTGCTCTGCTTGTCCTACTTATAAGATCTGGAGCCACTTACAAAAAGCAATTTTAGTGTTATGACTATCATAAGTCTATGTTAAAATTTGGGGATGTCACGATACATAGGTTTCATGAATTGATACGTATCATGATACACATGTCACGATTCGATATGTATCACGATACCTATTTTCGCGGCATTATTACATAAATTTAGTTACATTTTGAACATTAATATTTCATATTTTATAATTGTCCATGAAAAGATCAACATTTTTGATTCTCAGAGATTAAAAAGTTCTAATTTCCAATCTTTGTGCATAAAATATAATCATTTATAACTCTCATAACATAAAAAAACATGATACAATTGCAAAATGTAAATGATACATCAACATATTTAAACCGATATTTTCAAAACTAAATATTGATACAGTCTTGAATGTATCTATAATTGTATCGTCTTAGAAAAAGTATCTATGTATCAATGTTTCGTGGCATCCCTAGTTAAAATAGTGGTGATATGATTGTCATAGCTCTAAGAACACTTTATGCAAGTGCCCTTAGCTCTCTACCATATAATCCATGTCTCTATTCCTTTTATTATTAAAACTAAAAACCTCATGTAACTGGAATTTGAAATAATTACCTTAAGAATTCATTTAAATGTCAATTCATAATTCATTCAACTGTTAAATTTGAGGCTTATCACAACTATTGATATTTTTCTTTTGAAGTTAAATTTAAGCATTTGCTTTCAACAATTATTTGAATAATTTACTGCCATTAAAACTCATGTTTTAACTTTATCTCAAGTGAAATGACGCTGTTTCATACATAACTAATAAGCCAATATATATCCAGTTTTCTGCTATCCTCTCACTGTTTCTGCTTTTTGCTGCATGTTTGTCGTGAACCCCATCTAACGAGCAAGCCTCATTTTCAGTGTGTTTCCTTACAGTGTCCTCGGTTCAGCATGGACCGCCATCTTGAAGACTCCATGAAGATCCATCTCCAGTTCATGTGTGACCTTGTCAAGAGGCAGCAAGGTCAAATCTCCCAACTGTGCAATGCTCTCCATGCGGTAACGCAGGTCACAGACGGAACGTTCATGTGGAAGATCACCAACTACAAAGCCAAATACATTGAAGCTATTTACAAGAACGGGAAGGAGATTGTCAGCCAACCCTTCTATACATCTCGCTACGGCTACAAGGCAGCGCTGTCTGTGTTCCTGAATGGTAACGGCGCTGGTGAAGGCAAATATCTGTCTGTGTATATAAAACTTCTGCCTGGAGAGTACGACAATATTCTCGACTGGCCGTTCTTGTTACCAGTGTCCTTCACAATTTTCGACCAGTGTAGCGATCCGGATATGAGAATGAACATTACAGAGAGCTTCGTACCAGATCCAACATGGAAGCACTTCCAGAAACCCAGCAAGGACATTGAATCTCTAGGATTTGGCTACCCAAAGTTTGTGTCACATGAGATCTTGAAATCCAGGGATTATATCAAAGACGACTCGATCATTGTGAAAGTCTGTGTCGACAACAAGAGGTTCATCTTGCCGTGAGCAGGACACCATAGTCAATCTGTGCCATCATTTACATATTTATTAAATGTGACTTTAATCATAACACTCAGTGCTGGGACGTGTCTCGTGTGTTTGTTGATAACTGTGTATAACTTGGATAGTCAGAAACAATATATTGAATAGGGGACAAAAATATATGCATATTGTGTCCAACCTTTGGATGAATTCAGATGATATGGAAAGTTGTGTCTCACAATAATGTAGCAATTTGTGAAAAAAAGATTCTTGTCAGACTTGCGCAAAGTGACGTTAGTTCAAGATTCCTGAATTTTAAATGTAGACTTCCAACAGCAGTAATATGGTTTTGTGATAGTGGGCATTTGGCATAACTCAAAATTTTGTTTTATATCAATTTGTGCCTCTATTTTTCTCTTTCAGTGCTTTATCTTACAATTTAAATATGACATTTAAACTTTGCTGTCTTAAAAATGCATTTTGAGGTAGGCGATTGACTTCAGTGTACAAGCAGAGTAAAGGATGTTATATAAAGATCGTCCATACTCCTCGATCCCGGACTACAGTGAATTATTTATTCATAAATATTTTTTAAAATATTTGACATAATTAGTAACATTTTTTTTAATTCAGTATTTTAGCCAGTTTACATTTAGCAGAGATTTTAGGCTGACAGGCCAGTGATACTATACATAGGGGTATCCATTCGAGTCCACGGTATCAAACAAATATCAGAAACGTCATATCTTGTTTCTATTTCTATTTTGCTATTTCATTTCGGTATACTAGTATCTGTAAACCAACTCAAAAAATAAATCACCTGCATATTTAAGGAAGCCCTAGATTATTGCACAATAGCAGAATACCTAAAAGATCCTGTGACCCAGTAACTTTTCAACCTGTTTATCCAGTAAAGAGGAACACATGTTCTGGCAAAAATTCTTTGTGTAAAGTTGACAATAATTACTTATACATTTTAAACCAGTAAAACTCTCTGTATCCTCCAAAGTAGGAAGGTATGTGATACAGCTTACAGATCATACTGAGGCTGTGTGTGTTTCTAGTCATCTCATTGGACACAGTGCTACTCAGTGTGGGTGTTCGGGGTATATTTGCTTATATTGTTTTCAGGTTCCCAAGGATGATATCTTTCAATATAACTTGTCCCATCCTTGTTTTATGCCATTTTTTGAAGACTTGTGCAGCAAAACAGCTCTCCATTTTTGTCAAAAGAAGATGAGTGTTTGTTTGCCTGACTTGCTAATGGGTTTGCTCATGACATTGACCATGTGTTTGGCTGGTCCAGCTGTAATGTGTTTAGGGGTAACATCACTATAATATTGCTCACTACAGGGAACCCCTTTCACTTTCTCATCCCTATTTGTCTGTATTTCTGTAGATCTTCTGTTGCTGTTAGTTCTCTGTCTCTGCAGCATCTAAAAACTTTATGGATAATCACAATGTAGGCAGGTGCTTGTTTCTGTCTCAGAGCACACTGATTACTGATATACTTTATTATGCCACACCTTTACATCATCTCAATGACATACTGCTTTCCTAGCAACTTAGTCACGACTCACTGGAAATAGTGTTTTCCTGGTAACATTTATTACAGAGAGCTGGCAATAAACATTCCCTAGCAACTTTTACCACAGCTAGCAGGTAATACTGCTTTCAGCTTCATCACAGCTTGCAGGGAAAACTGTTTTCCTGGCAAAGTCTATCACAGCTACCAGGTAACACTGCTTTCCTACCAACATAGTTCTGTAGACAAGCAGATACCAGAAGGAATGGTTGCCCTACGTAGCTAAAGCAATGGTGGATCTGTGTCCATTGCTGCCTTTGTAGAAACTGGTTTTATACAATCTCATTATGTGCAATATTGCCTATGCATAACATAGAAAACATGGAAACACTATCACAAGGTTCATCGATCGCAACCTTACAACCTTTAACCTCAACAAACTGACTATTAGGCTATAAGTTGTAGTTGGTTCTTTGCCACTGATGACACATGAAAGAAATGTACAATGCCGTCGGGTAATTCCGTGCATCTAAGCACATTGATCACAACACAGCAACTAACGTCTCTTATTTTTTGTGGTTTACGTGACTAAACATACTGGTATGCATCATATTTACCTTGAAATATAAGTTTTATTCACGACTATGAGATTCTAACGTTGCATTATGCCATATGGTTGACCTTATCGGCGTTCTGACGACATCACTTGCTGTCGGTAATTCTGCGCAGCAATTGATGCGCATAACATCCAGCTGGAGATCCGAAGTATGGAAGTGTGTTAGGGCCTGATTATTTTCAAAAATCACTTCATCAATGTAAGGATAAAGGGTTTCAAATTACCCAATTATAAATAATAAAGATAAAGGTTTAAAAGTCTGAAGAAAACGAATTTTTATAAAACTGTCAATTTATCTGTCAATTACTGTTATTTACTTACCTGTAGTGATTAAAAGCCAGTCCCTTGTAGAAATGTCCCGATTTCAAGTGTAAATGTGGTAGCAGGCGATTTTACCTTTGATACGGAAGTACGCTATTGCAGCTGCGCGGAATTACCGGACACTCGGAATTACCGGACTCACTTGTATGTCAGGTTTAGAAAAAAACAAATGATATAACATGTCACATGTTTGACACTAAATGACTTGCTTACTCTATCAGTATCTTTGCCAGGGGAAGATGTTCATATGTTTTTGCTTTCTTGGTAATTTTCGAAGAAGGTCGATATCAAATATTCAAATGTCCATGTCATAATTATTTCATCAACATAATTTTCACAATTTGTATTGCACAACATAATTGTTTGCATTGATGTTTTATTTGTTTTACATGCATTTATTTTGTGTATGTTTACAGGGAATTTGCTTTTTATGTGTTACAACATGCTGCAAATATTTCTGTACTGATGTTGCATATGTTTGATATGTAGGGGTACTCTGGACTGTGGGGACAGTCTTCATCATGATAACAGAAATATACTGAGGTAAACAAAAAAGGGAACACCACTTCATCGCTGTGTTCCTCTATTAATTCTCAGCAGAGACCATATACCGACATGTGAAGAAACATTGAAAAGAATATAGGAACACTTGTGCTTTCATGTGTTCCCTTATTTGTTTCCCTCAGTATATTTCCACTTTGAACATGCAGACATTTGTTCAACTTTTTCAAATAACATGATCGATCTTTTATTCTGGTTTGAATCGATTGATCATGACAAAAGGAAAAACTTGAATTATTATGATTTTTCAAATATATATTTTAAGTTGTCACTTGTCAGTTAAACAGAACATTTGTTTAATTAGTTTGATGTAGAAACATATGAGGCTCTGATGAAATGATTATTTTTGTCTCCACGAGCCTCACCTGCCACACACCTTTCCTCACATGATTAGTTGTTGCCAAACACTTAAGGACAAAATGAGTTAGCTGGGTTTAAAGCTGCCTTGGACGGTATTCCAGTTATATCACATAATGTCAGCTTGATGCATGATGAAAGCCGGAAGTAATTCAAGCCTCAGATATATACACTTAGTGAAAGAAACAAGCACAACAAACCAGGATTTGAAAATATGATCCTGGGATCCTGGGGCGTCCAAGGGATGCAACTCTTAATAATGAAGCTTTAGACCACTGAACAACCCATCAAAGGTTTCCTTATGATATCATGATATAAAAAGAAAATATGCCTCATGGTTTACATTTTAAAATATGGATGCAAATCTAATATTTTTTTGTAGTGAAAGCGATAAGGTAGAATATGACAGGTATGTTCATGTGATGTCTAGTTTCACTGACTACCAACAATAGTTCACCTGCTCACACCCAATGATTCAGCACTCATCACCAACAACATTGTCTAGTCCACAGGTTCCAAAAATCACGTAGATCGACGTCCATGCTGACGATCACTGGATTGTCTGGTCCAGACTAGATTATTTACAGACCGCCGCCATATACCTGGAATATTGCTGAGTGCATCATTCATTAAACAAACAAATCCATAAGTCCCAAAACAGCATCAACTCCAAAGCTAAAAACAAGAGAATAACATCAGTTATTCAGCATGACCAAGGGAATATTTGGTTCATATATCCTGGATTACGTTACATACCTCAAGCCGGAGGGTCCTGCTAAGAGCTTCATGTTTAACTTGGTTCTTGGTGTAAGCAGTTCCTCTCCTCTGGTTGATATACACAGTATTTTGTGAACAATCTGATCTCCACAGTCTCATATGGAGATGAGATAATTCTTCATATTATAGTGACGAACATGTGAGAATTCTTTTTCCTTGTTTCAGTTTCAAAAAAGAATTATAATAGCCACCATTCTGTTATTTGTCGTTTCTATATGAGGCATATACTCAAGGTTGAGAGTGGGTTGGCCTGTGTTGGTGAAAGACAGGCCCCAACAATCTATATGTTTACTATCATCACTGCTTCTGTTTAGTGGAAACATCATTACAATATTCAGCTACAAAATTACATTCAAGGATTGTCTGACTTCTGTGTACCTTGAAAATTTATATTTTGACAATGCATGTCGTTAACAGTGTTAGACACATACATCGGCAAAGTGGGATTTGTCTGTTTTAATTAATTTAAGGAGGAATGTTAATTGTTGCGATTATCCTCAATGTAAAAAAACATCAGACAAGCAAGAAATATAATATTGCATATTAATGATTACAAAATGCAGTTTCATGTAATTAGAAGGTAATGTTAGGATGATAGGATAAGACTATACAATGTGGAGATTGGAGTGTGTATGTTGGTTATGCTAACAGAAGTTTTAGTTGGTTAATGCATAATCACCAAGTACAAGACAATGCAACATGTATTTGGACTTTTAATCTTCACATACTATGACGTTATAACTGTTTGAAGCCATTGTTGATTAAAACAATCGAAAAATGTCAACAAAAAGATATTATTGTACAGATTGTTATGTGTGTTGCCATGGTTACTGTACTGCCAGAAGTCATGTGTATATTAATTGTGTAAATAAACTACACAATATCATACAAATTTGTTTGTATTTATTTTTATGTGTTCCTCAACCATAATTTGTATATGTTTATGTGCTTTAATGGTTTACTCAGATAACCTTCACTGGACCAGGTGCGTAATGACATGACACGATGCAGGGTTTACTCTGCTGATGGAGATATACAAGTCATAAAACAAATGATGAAGACTTAATTGAATTGGAACATATCAATGCAAAGGCTTTATTTAAAAAAGTGTACCCAATGATACAACAATGAAGAATTTGAATAAAATGATGAAGAATGTTCCATGAGAGATAACATATTACATAACATGTTGGTGAATGTTCCATGAGAGAGAACATATTAAATACCATGTTGGAGAATGTTCTATGAGAGAGAACATATTACATAACATGTTGGAGAATGTTCCATGAGAGAGAACATATTACATAACATGTTGGAGAATGTTCCATGAGAGAGAACATATTACATAACATGTTGGAGAATGTTCCATGAGAGAGAACATATTACATAACATGTTGGAGAATGTTCCATGAGAGAGAACATATTACATAACATGTTGGTGAATGTTCCATGAGAGAGAACATATTACATAACATGTTGGAGAATGTTCTATGAGAGAGAACATATTACATAATATGTTGGAGAATGTTCCATGAGAGACAACATATTACATAACATGTTG